TTAAGCAATAGAAATATTGTTTATTGTAATGGTACAGTTATCTCACTAGATAATATTTGACTTCTAATAAAATAATGCAACATTAATGATGACTAAAAATTAATCTACTTAATAAGAAAGACTATATCAGAAGGGGGGTTTGTGGAGATTTTAGTAATTTTATATAGTTGAGATCATGAGTCAATTGAAGCTAGACCACCATGGAAAACCTGGAAGCACTGGATGACTGTTTCATCCTTCAATTGACTAATGATCTCAACTATATAAAATTGCTAAAATCTCCACAAAACCCCTTCCGATAATGATTATATGTTCACTAGTGACTGGCTCCATGAGGTATTTCCTGGAGCTCTAGTGAGAAGCAGTAACCAGTGGAGTTCAACGAGGTCTGTTGGGAGATATCAACTCACTGAAGACATTGGTGAATGGTTGCTCAATTTCGTGGATTGATTGAAGTTAAACATTGACACCGTTGGATGCTGGCTCAGAGGTCTATAGGTTCAGTGCTCTGGCGCAAGACTGGTAGGTCCTGGGTTTGAACCTCGCAAGGCGAGATCGTGGATGCGCATTGCTCAGGAGTAAAGTACATTTATTCTAATAATGAACATGATTATAGTTATGCAATACTTGAATAGTATCCTATTACAATCAATAAATTGATTTATTCAAATGAACAATATTCAATCAATGAAAAATTAGATTTACAGTGCTACATTCTAATTGATAATTATTAAATTAAACTAATGTTAACTTGAACAGACAATAGCTAATTAATCACTTTACAAAATGTTTGTCTTTTCTTAACTTTAATGAAAAAATTTGGAAAAACATCACATTCAATGGTATACTTTAGCTGTCATCATATTAACTACTCAATATGATTTTTTGAATCATTGTCGGATGTCATTATATATCGCTTATATCGCTTTTTCTGCATATCGATTAATTAAGTGGAATAGTTTAGCAACCACATAATATTCTAAAATTCAATAAAATTCTATTTGGTACTTTAATTAGATAGAAATTGACGCCAAACTATGTAACTCATAAACATTACAGACATTCACACAGATACATACAGATAAAAATAGAAAAATGTGCACATGGTGTTATATTAAATGTACTAAAATGTAATGATACTACTTTATAGATCTTTTGGAATGGAATGGAGGAAAAAAATTTTTTTGAAAACATAATAATGAGTTAGTTTAGATTTTAGTTAAAAGAAATTCTTTTCAAAAGGGGTTTTTGTGGACATTTAGTATTTTCATAGTTGAAAGTGTGAGTCAATTGAAATTCTGTTGTTATTATACAAATTTCATCTTATTTAACAGAAGTATTTATTTTATTTTCTCAAATTTTTCAATAGACATGCGGATATTGAATCAATTCAATTTGTCTATTTCTTGGTGATTGATATAGTGTGAACTATACACTAAGTTTAAATGGATCATTCAGTCAGAAAACAGCCCAATATTCTAGCGAATAAAAGATTTATGTGTTAATGATGATTTAATTAGGGATTTTGCTTGAATGCCAACAATTTACTGAAAGAATATAGTTTAGAAACTTATCAAAATGGAATTAATGTTAAAAAAGGTTTACTAACGATCAACTTTATGGGTCCTTTTTAATTTCCAATATCACTGAAACTTAGTAGGAACGAACCTAAAGCACAGGCTGAAATATCAATGTATAGGAGGAAAAACGCAAACATCCATGTAAATTAAGGTTTAGAATGAAAATGTTATTGAAAGAGTGCACTCCGAAATCCGATAGTTAAACTTTAAATCAATAAAACTGTAACCAAAAATGCTGGATACAACACAATTGGAGTAAGTAGAAACTTACGGTTTACGTATAAGTAGAACAATATGATACAAATTTTTTTTCACTGTCATTTCTAAATAGTTAACTACGATTGTAAAATAATTCGTTCTGTTGGTTTTGAGAGCTAATAATATTTTGAATGTATGTGTAACCTTCAGGACACAACAATTAATTTTATGTCATCTATAAACAATTCCTTTACGGTAGCGAACCAGTGGACGCATATTACAGCTGTTAAGTAGTCAAAAAATTATGTTAGTATAGCTAATTGTGAATGGAATTATTGATAATACTACTGACTAGAATACTATATTTCTATGTCAGTCATTAAAACTATGTACTATTATCTTTTTAGGTAACAGAGTCAAGCACTCCATACATAACAGGTCCGTGAATCATATAGGATAGTTAAAAATTCAATTGTTGATTAACACTTACAATAAACAATATCTGTTATTAACAAGGGGTATGGGAATTTCATGGACCCAGGATCATCATAACCTCTTTCAAAACAAAGAAAGAGGGCATTACAATGAACGTCATCCAATGCTATGAGCCTACCAACGACTACAATGAAGACGTTGAAGATCAATTCCACGATAGGCTGCAGTCAATCATCGAGAAATGCCCAACGAAGGACTCGACCATTCTGATGGGAGACCTAAATGCCAAGGTTGGAATGGACAACACCGGATACGAAGACGTCATGGGACGACATGGACTAGGAGAAAGGAACGAAAATGGTGAGAGAGTAGCAAACCTATGTGCCTTCAATAAACTGATCATAGACGGCTCTATATTCCCATACAAACGCATTCATAAAACCACATGGACTTCACCAGACCACGCTACACATAACCAAATCGACCATATCTGTATCAACAAAAACTCAGGAGGACGATGGAGGATGTGAGAACCAGGAGAGGAGCTAATAAAGCAACAGATCATCATTTGCTGGTTGCCAAGATGAAATTAAAACTTAAGAAGCACAGGACAACGGGGCGGACAACATCACAAACGTTTAATACGGCTTTTCTTCGGGATACTGACAAACTCAACAAATTCAGGACAGCCCTCAACAATAAGTTTCAGGCCTTTCACGATCTACTCACTGGAGAGGGAACTATTATGGAGAACGACTGGAAAGGGATCAAGGAGGCAATCACTTCAACACGCCAGGAGGTTCTAGGCCACAAAAAGCACCACCACAAGGAATGGATCACTGTTGGTACACTGGATAAAATTGAAGAAAGAAGGAACAAGAAGGCAGCAATCAATATCGGCTGAACCAGAGCGGAAAAAGCCAAGACACAAGCCGAATACACAGAGGCCAACAAGCAAGTGAAGAGGAGCATCAGAACCGACAAACGTAAATATGTGGAAGATTTAGCGATGACAGCGGAAAAGGCTACAAGAGAGGGAAACATGAGACAACTGTATGATACAACAAAGAAACTTGCTGGAAATTACCGTAAACCAGAAAGACCAGTGAAAAGCAAGGAAGGTAAAGTAATCACCGACATTGAAGAACAACGAAACAGGTGGGTAGAACATTTCAAAGGACTCTTAAATCGCCCAGCTCCACTGAACTCACCCAACATTGAAGCAGCACCCACAGACCTCTCAATCGATGTTGACCCACCAACAATTGAAGAGATCAGCATGGCCATTAGACAAATCAAGAGCGGCAAAGAGGCAGGACCAGACAACATCCCGACAGAGGGACTGAAAGCATATGTAGCAGCAACTGCCAAGATACTCCACATCCTCTTCAGTAAGATTTGGGACGAAGAACAAGTTCCAACAGACTGGAAAAAAAGGACTTCTGATCAAGATACCAAAGAAAGGCGATCTCAGAAGTTGTGGGAATCGCAGAGGCATCACTGTTCTTTCGATACTAGGAAAAGTCTTCGACTTCGAGACCATTAGGCTGGATTCCGTAACGATCTATCCTGTACTGACCAAATCGCAACACTACGGATCATTTTGAAACAATTAAGTGAGAGGAATTCATCACTCTACATCAACTTCATTGACTACGAGAAAGCATTTGATAGTGTGGACAGTACAACACTATGGAGGCTTCTTCGACACTATGGCGTGCCTGAGAAGATAGTCAATATCATACGGAACTCCTATGATGGATTAAACTGACAAATCGTACATGGAGGACAGCTCACTGGCTCGTTCGAGGTAAAGACCGATATCAGGCAAAGCTGCTTACTCTCGTCCTTTTTCTTTCTTGTAGTCAAATCGGTCTCCTATTCTGAATTTTCACGAACAGAGTTTCAACGTCAATTTAAAGATTGTTTCCAGTGCACATTCACGGCAAAGTTAAACCATTCAGTAATACAGGTCAGCATACATATTTTTACACTGTGGCGTGGTTGCATCTAAGGACAGAAATAGATGAGATTATTTAAAATATCTTTTTTATTTCAACAGAGTATTTAACGATGACTCTAGCGTACATACCCATAGTTTTTAGTTCCCAAAAAACATGAGCTGGATTCTGATATCATACACATTGCTGACTGTTGCATGTACTCCGGCCACCTACCAATTTAGCTAATACTGGTATGCATCTGCTGTGTTTCACATGCCCATAGTAAATTTTGTTTTTCCTCTCAGTAGAATGCTTGAGTTGTGCTAGATATTGACCTTTTTGGTGTCACGTTAAACCACATTTTGCTGTTATTAAACGGAATTAGGATGAGAGGAATTAGATTCTATTTCTAGTAAATTCTAAATATATTTTAATGACGCGGTGACACGTGACCGTCAATCAATCGTCTCATTGATGACGATTTCAATTATGTCATCAGACTTCTGGGAAACAAATAACTTATTATATCAGTGTTTAAAGTTTATTAGTCTCATTAAGCTGTTTAATGGAAAGTCTAATAGATATATCAATATAATAATATATTCAAATAACAGATGCAAACCAATCGTCTCATTATCTCAATTACTAAAATTACTATAATACCCACAAAAAAACCCCTTCTGATATAAACCACTGCTATATATGAATAATTATGTGTAATCTGTGTGTAATCTTTTGCGTTGTGACTGGCTGATTGGTTTTGAAACTACTAGTTGATTACAATTGGTCAGTAGAAAGGTAATTTAAGATTACTTGGATTCGTATTTTTCCGAATAGTTTTAAAATGTCTCAGTTAGAAAATACACATAAAACACTAATCGAAAATGTTATTAAAGAAGCTGATAAACTAATTGCACGAGGTCAATTTCATAAAGCTTATTATTATCTCAAAGTTTCATTGAAAAAATACGATGATGTTGAACTATTATGGAGATTTGCTCATGCGTGTTATCTTTGTGGTAATGTTCTTACTTAATGTCATCATGATGAGAAATTTTGTTAATAATACTAATTATTATTCTTGTTATTAGTTTATTATGTTACAAGAAAACCACGTAAAGAATTCTGTGAAACATATTTCTCAGAGGGGATGAATGCAGCTAAAAAGGCTATGGAGAAAAATCCTAATCATGCTAATTCCTTGACGGTATTTAGACATTTCATTACATTTATATGAATCCTTTATTTATTCATCATATCTGTTCAGTGGTATGGTATCTTATGGGATGAACACAATAATTTGAAAGGTTTTTTAGAAAGATTCAAGAATATCTCAGAGTTATATGACATATGGATAGTAAGTTGACATGTTATTCATTCGTTCGAAAATCCATGGAAATTGTAGAGATCAGAAAAAGCTGATCCGAATAACTTTATAACTGAGAGTAGTTTAGGCATATGGTAAGTAGTTGCATTCGATGTATTTTCTTATATCTGTTCAAGGTATTTTATTATGACAGATGTATATCGTACAAAACCAGAACTTTTTAAAGGTACAAAGTATACTGGGAGTGAATTCTCTTATGAATTGGTACGTACTGAATGAATTCCCAATAAGATTCATTATTTTTATGTAGGCATTAAAACATATGCTGAAATGTGAAGAATGTAAGTATTGTATAGACCTGTGCTAATATAAAGACATGTTTATAATCTTTTTGATGAGTGAATAACATGAGTTTTCACTGTTTCCATTTCTTTTAAAAATTAAAACATGGAGTGGCTCCTATGAGATCTGTAATAACACTTGCATATTTGGCTAAATGTTATGCACGACTAGGACAAAAGGACAAAGCAAAAGAATATGGTCTTAAAGTACTTAATTATCCTGCACATCACGTTGAAGCCGATGAGGTAAGTATATGAATGTCATATATTGTGAATATGTACTGGTGACCTAGTTATATTTATGATGCAACTAAATAAAGCGTATTGGTAATGGATTGGACAGTGATTATTATCAGATAGTCAGAGGTAATCATCATGAGGCTGTTGACCCAGGTCAATTGTTAGCTGAAACTCTTTAGCAATGTGGATTTGAACTCATCAGGGAACTAACGGTGCCCATGGAATTTGAACGAGCGTCACTCAGTATCACAGTCACTAACATCACCTACTAGATGCAAATACGCTTTGCTAACGAGTGACAACTAGCATAAAATCTAGATGGACGGCTCACTGACAGTTGCAGCCAATCATGTCATAGAAGTTGATAAACACTTCTGATAAACAGCCAGATAACACATTTGGTTGGACGCATGTATGAGATTCTCAGATGCATCATAAGTACATGAAGTAACATTTATTCGCCCAGTCTTGAGTGTTATCAATGTCGGATTTATTAATAGTATTGATGTAACTGTGCAGTTTTAGTCACCATTGTGTAATTAGGAGTAATTTTGTTTGTCTTAATGAGCGATAATTACTCTAGATTTGTGTCTGTTAGTCGAAATCTTGATTTGGATATGATCAAGTTGACACATGAAAACACTTGCTCATACATGTAAACCCATTCCAAGAAGCGAAGGTTTCACATACAGACTTTTCCGGTTCATGAAATATTTCCTTTGTGATAGGCTAATAGAATTCAGTCAATATAGCATTCCTTTCAACTAAACAGTTGTCACCTTGCAAGTTCGTTATTTCCATCTAAAATTATGATTATATATTCTTGTGTCAAAAAAATGAAATTGTCAGAAAATAAAAATTAACACACAAAATCTTTGGGAACTTTGAAAAGTCACACGATTTCGCCCTTGTGCATAAAACTTCAGCTATTATTTTACTAAACACATTTCTGAGAAACTATTTGTATGCTTAATGTAAGGAAATAACCGCGATTATGTTCACCAATCTATTTGGATAGCTGATTAAGTTTGATTTCACACTTTATTTCCTAAGATTCTAATAAAGAGTCACTTCTTTGGCATAATTTCTAACTGCTTTTACACACATTTCATAAATGAACTCACGGGGATCATTTGTCCTCTGTACAGTAGTTTGCTCATCGTAGATCTTTAATGTGATAATCAATGCATTGTTTATATTATCTCGGAAAATGTCTACTAGATTATTTTCGACTACATATATATCTTTATTTATTTATAGGCTAAGGAAGAAGTTAAAGAATTATTGCAAACACCTAAATGATTGCATTGATAATGATAGTAAGTACCATATTATAATGAAGAACAAATTATATTCCATCACATTAAAATTATTGAAGCGATTAGTAGTACTAACTTATTATTATTATTACATAGTGTGTCATGTGCGTGAACATTCTACAAATATATGTGATGTGTATGTATGAAGAACTTTATATTTAATTCTGTATATTCAATTGGATTGTTAACTGTCTGCACATATTGAATGGCAGCAAACAGCCATGTTTGGTCATTTTCTCTATCATAAGAGCATTTTTCTATCTACAAATGGAACGTGTTGCAACTAAGGTCCTAATTAATCAACATGATTATTACGATCAGGGGAGTTACAGTTTAATTGTCATTCACAAATTTAGGCGATTGAACTCATTGTATGTTTTTTTTACTGATGCTTAGTGGAATTTCAATGTGTACACGGATTAGTTTGTGAATAATCACGATTATCACAATCCAGTTGTTAGCGCTTATCAAAAGACTATGGACTAATGTATGAAATGTTGTCAAGTGATCTTTAAGAGCCGATATCTTTCATACGTCCACACGTGCCTGAGGCTTCGTATGATACCTGTCAATCAGTGAGCCTTTTTATTTGAAATGTTTATATTCTTTCTGTGATAACATGTACTTGAATGCGTTTGTGCCCTATTTGATCTATGAACGCCAAATTAGAGAGGAGTGAATGCAGGAGAAAACGATCAGTGTAGCAGCAGTAGGTCTCAATATAAACAAAGGGAAAAGCAAGACTCTCCGATACAATACAATATGCACCAATCAAATTACACTTGACGGAGAAGCTTTGGAGGATGTGGAAACCTTTACATATCTGGGCAGCATCATTGATGAACACGGTGGATCAGATGCAGATGTGAGGGCGAGGATCGGCAAAGCAAGAGCAGCATACTTACAACTGAAAAACATCTGGAGCTCAAAACAATTGTCAACCAACACCAAGGTTAGAATTTTCAATACAAATGTCAAGACAGTTCTATTGTATGGGGCGGAGACGTGGAGATCTACGAAAGCCATTATCCAGAAGATACAAGTGTTTATTAACAGTTGTCTACGCAAGATACTTCGGATCCGATGGCCAGACACTATCAGCAACAAGTCACTGTGGGAGACAACAAATCAGATTCCAGCAGAGGAAGAAGCGCTGGAAGTGGATTGGGCACACTTTGAGGAAATCATCCAATTGCGTCACAAGACAAGCCCTCACATGGAATCCTGAAGGTCAAAGGAGAAGAAGAAGACCAAAGAACACATTACGCCGAGAAATAGAGACAGACATGAGAAGAATGAACAAGAACTGGATAGAACTAGAAAAGAAGGCCCAGGACAGAGTGGGTTGGAGAATACTGGTCGGCGGCCTATGCTCCATTGGGAGTAACAGGCGAAAGTAAGTAAGTAAGTAAGAATTTATTGATCGGATCAGGATACCACACTTTCGCTATTTGATGACATAAATATAGTGCCTAGTACCGATTTTTTCAGTTATTCTGAAGTCTTTCAAAATTAGAAGCACTTTCTGAATTCCACTGTTTTCTATGAATACATGGAAATTTTCTTAGGCAACAGACGACACTAATGAAACATAATTGATGACACAGTGCTTCTGTAATTTTACTACTCGAGGATCTCTTCTCTTCCTGACCAAATCATATTCCAAGTGAGAGAAAAGTCAACTTAGTATTGCAACTGAAATAGAGAGATGAATGTGAGTACATTATCGCGTTTACCCATAGTATACTGTAGGCCAGGATGATAAAAGCTTTGCAAAAACGATTAGCCGGTAAGCCTCATTACTATAAGCTTGTTATCAGTGACGCTAAGATTGATCGCGAGTTTGCTTATCTTGTTCCGTTAGTATATGGAAAGCAGTTTTAGGCTTCATAATCGTTGATAGTCATTACATCAGAACAGTCTGAAAGTGTTCATGAGGCCGAACAAACCTAGAATTCCATTACAAACAACACATTTTAGTACTTTCTTGATACTACTAAAACCAAAATCAGTAGTACGTTTGTGACGTGAAAAGCTCGTTAACCCTGCCGACCGCGTGTTCCTTCAGTCTCATAAAAAAATTCAAACATGACATTCTGTATATCCAGTGTCTACTTCTAATGTCTGATTTTTAGCTACCAGCTGTAAACTTTCTTGTGACTAAGTACCTTAAGATATATATTTCTTAATTTGTAAAAAGAATGCTTTTCTTTTCGAAGAGAGACATCAATTCACCTTATGGAAGATACTATACCGTATCTACCTGATGGGAAATTAGATATCCATAGATCTTTATCAGATTTTTTTTACCAAATTTACCCTCAATCAAGCATTTATTTCACCGCATACATCCAGACATGACATAAAATATTAGGATACGTCAATCAGGGAAGTAACCTTTCGTTAATAAAAAACGTCAACATAGATGCATCCTACTAACACTTTTGGATAAATAGTGAAGTCATGTTTACCGTTCATGATAGAGATTACCACAACGCCAATTATTTCTGCCCCCATAAATACAAATATACACTACATTATTACTTTCATACATCAAGAAATACACCCGTTTGTTTCGTTATGATATAAATGACGCGGTGATCATTTGTGTTTTGGAGAGGTGAAATGTCTCGTTGGATCGGTGATAAAGGGTATCAGTAACGAAATTTAAATGAGAATATAATGAAAGAAGTAATACTTTAGCATTAGTGTTTACATATTACCGATAATACTGAGCATATACACAAATTATAGGTTATGTTTCACTTGGCTATAATCGTTACACTTACATACAAGTGTCTTAGCAAAATGTAGTTCTTGAAAAGCATTGACGAAATTAAGTGTTAAAGTAAAATTCATAAATGTTTCATAAAGCCTAATTGGTTTAAAACAAGATTTATCTAATCATAGTTATCTAAAAAACATTGGGTCATATGTTTTAGAATAAAATATAGATATGGACTTAGTGTAAAGATCTAATCAATTACGAGATATTCATGCACAAATGATACTATGGATGGGGACATGATTGTCAGTGAATATCTAAAAATTCGATTATCAGAAAATTTCACTTAATCTTAGTTCTCATATGTACCATTATTTATGTGTCCAGTAACGTACCTATTCCTCTCATTTACGAGACAATTCAAGTACATCTATTTCTCATTAACATGACGTACTAAGGGTAGACAAAGAACACATAATCTTCTACACAACATAAAACGCATCATATTAGTGACAATTATCCGAAATGCACCAGTCTAACACAATCCAAAATAGCACTGACTTATACAAGTTCTGTTCATTTCAGTCATTTCTAAATTTAAAAAGCAACAACATCCCAGAGAGGATCAAAACAAATACTAACTCAATTATTATATTCTCTCAATAAAATTAAGTGGTAATTGAAAACTAAAAACATTTATATTACAAGGCCACTACAACTGACATAGTTAGTCAATAGTAGACAGTCAAACGAGAGAAGGATCAAATACGGAACACGGGAAAGGCACTACACCATATGACAAAGGGACTGTTTACAGAATCCATAGCCATTATGGAAACTATATAAATGAGGGGGTCGTATATGGGTAGATTTCGTCTCAGTAAGACATATCATACATTCTTGACGCTATTAATGTAGGGGTTCCAGGCATACCTAGAAATAGATGACAAAAGCTCCACCTCTGATTGGTGGTAGGGTGATGCTTATTTCATAGTTTCACAATAATATGTGACCTATTGATTGTACATCAAAAGTAAGGTTGTGTAAGTTTTTCCAAAAGTTAACAAGGGAGCCCTGTCGATCGTCAAAAACAACCTATGAAATGACCTCTGTTACAGTATGCTGTTCAAAGATGAAGCTATTTAAACTTATATTTGTGAGATGGTTCACACTGAAAGATAAGTTTGTCTGTATAACTATACTTCGTGAATAAATCACAGTTCACAATGGAATGGAATGTATTATATTTCATTTATTTATAAATATCAACAGCTATAGCGAAAAACAGTTAAAAATTCATTATGAACTCGTCTATGAAGAATTTCTTTTGCATGGAGTCTTCCATTAGACAACTTTGTCATCATAAGATGTACTTTTTCAGGACAGTTGTCTCTCGATAACAGTAAATAAATGCAGCCATGTGGTGAGAGCAAATTGTAAGCTTGACTTAAGAATGGATCAATCACCTGAAATTCAGTTAAGAAAATGCAATGTACAAATAAAGGGGTTGAAGAAAGGACGAATAATATAAACCATTTTATTCGATACACCACAAGCAAATTATGGTTTAAAGGAATGTGGGAGAATTTTCAGCAAGCACTTAATACATCTGGTACATTCATTTATGAGAGTTCCAAAAGATCATATTGATTTCAGATTAGTAGGACAAACTTCAGGAGCAAGTGAATTAAGCTAGGAAAATAATGCTTACCCATGGGAATTCGAAATGCAAGGAAAGAAGGTGGCACTTGGTAATTTCATACAGAATCTTCAAAATGGACCTTCTACTTTATTCACTGCTATCTGCAAGATACTGTCTGATGGACAATCCAATATATTTTCGTGTTGAATAATAGTAGTTTTGGTATACATCAGGATTACATAACAGAATACAGAACTATCAATAAAAAGAATAATGAGAAGGTACTATCACAGACAGTGCACTTTTTAAAATTCAGCTACAGATGTTCGAAATGAACTGCAGTGCCTAACTCGAATTGAATAGTCTTCCTAAAACTGTAACATCCATTAATTTATGTGATGCTGACTAAAGATCGGTGAAATTAAGCCAGTCGGTACGTACACTGAGTTTACAGAAAAACACAGAAAACATGTTAATGTCTCCGAGAAAACTTTAAATCACAAATTTTTAATTTTGAAGTGGACGAAAAACCAGCAAAGTAGACTTACTTCTCTTCCCAGTCGCCCACCAGACCATGAGGCAACTATAGTTGAACTAGCAGATTTGTGTTCCTCTGAAGTTGTCGGTACATAGGGAGGATTAAACATGATTAAGTCTACACTTTGATATAGTCTAGACAAGAGGGGTGTTGCTAAAGAACAATTAATTACATCATATGTCACCGATGTACTAGGAACATTTACGTTTAGCACACGTAGAGATGCGTGACAGGCCTATAATGTTAAGACAGTGATTGAAAAGCCGCATACAGTAAGGGATATGTCGGTGCATATGTGAAATAGTGGTTTCAAAATGGATGAGCACAGGAATGCACTGATAACTCCACTACCGCTGCCAACTTCAAGAGTTAAGGTGGGCCTCAATTCGGACAAAAACCCAGAATCCAACTCCAAAGCATCCAAAAATAAGTAGGAATCCTCAGATGGTGGATAAACTTCTGAAAACTCTGGATCGCTCATACAAGATGTTATTGGAGTGGTCATGAGATAGATAAGTAGGGATGCGAGGGACAGTTCGGAGTATGGACCTAAAATGTTGAAAGTATTGTGGGATGAATTATGATAAACTCAGACCTGGTACAAAATACCTCAAAAGTTTTATGAAATACTTTTCTGTGAGTTATGCGAAGCAAAATTAGTGAAGACTATGGTTAAGGGCTCGGTTTTCAACGAATATGTCGTGTGTGTCAAACGCAACTTCTATCTCGATACTCAGGTATTCAAAGGGACAGTTGGTGTGCTTTGTAAAGTAATCGATTCTGATAACTACACCTATGGATGGGCACTTCTAGCATCCCAGTACACCATTTATTCGCTTTCAACGGTGCACCGCGGTAATCACAAGATTCCGGCTTCAAAAGAAAACCGATCAGTATTACGACAACAAAATAACTTATTGATTGAATCGATGTGAGAGCTGATTTGACTTTGGTGGAATGCTGTACAACTGTGACTAGTTGTCATTACATAAGATATTCCCCTCTCCCGTTGAGTTTTAAGTAGGTGTTGAGTAGAAATCAGCATTCGAAAGCATCGGCAATTATTTTACAGCCAATGTTGATCAGGTTGACATAATATGGAGTCATTCGGAAAGGTCAGGTAGTTATATTGGTGATTATACGTAGGACACAAACCTCAGAAAACACAAAGACAAAGAACGTCAAAACACAAACGCCTATGAAGAGTCGGAGGTTAGTTGTAGTCCAATCCAATATCCTGACGTCAATATTTCCGCCAAAAATCTCTCATCTATCCCCAAGTAGACATTCACTTTATGGACTATAAGCATTCATTTCTTCTAAGAACAAATTTGTGTCACCACACAACTCATCCAATTCAAAGCCAGTCACACTACAGACTTTATATAATGATTGGATCGTATCAACGCTCACTATCATTCCTGAAGTGTGTAAGTTACCACACAGATAAACACTGAAATTATGTTGAAAATAAATGATTCGTCGAGAGGATAAATCAGGTTACAGGACGCGAAAGGACGTCTCTTGACATTAGGCGTAAGATTGGATCCAGCATGGGTTTATGGATATTGGAGATTATGCCTTACACGTTTGAAGGGTTAAATGTGTTGGAGTCTGCATTAGCAAACAAGAAGTCATGTGATAACATTGTAAGTTTTACTTCCAGTTTAATACGATTAAGATAACAAAACTATCAGGGATCAACCGAACAAAGCCTTATAGGACGGGAAGACCAGTGAACGAGTTATCATAACTGATATCATTTTCAGTCAGACAATGCTATATTTCAAAACAAACGCAGTTTTCGGGATCCTAGAAAGTCACTAACTGAGTAAAAGCAGGGTGGTGTGAGCACAGTTTTGTATTTGCACGACCTTGGAATTCAAATCGGTGCATGAACATTGTGCGTGATTAAAAACGTCAAACCATCACTATGGGTAATAAGCAGTGTTCACACGTGTAAGTTAGTTATTGTAAAAGTCTCTGAGAAGCTCAGAATGGTTAAATATTATATAATGTTCGAATTAGTTGTTGAATGTGTCTGGAAAAGTTACTACAACTAAAATACCGGGTTTCTTTATGGAATAATCAGCAGAGTTCATGGCCATTTATGTCGTTTTTGCATTCCATAGTTTGCAGACTCAAACTACGACAAAATTCGCACATACTTTATATGTACTCTACAGTGTACTGATAAGTCTAGTACAAGTCCAATGTGGACACTCACATTCCGGACATGCTAATATTTAGATCCAGATCTTAGTACTATGGTAAGAGATCATTAATGGAAGAACATAGTCAAATAACGACTATGACCAAATGCTCTACGCTGTAATATTGATCTCAGTTAAGCCAGACCTTACTGCCAATGGTTTAACACTACACAGCAATATGTTAAGTAATAAGTCGAAATATGGGACGAGATCACATAATAAAGGTTTGACACTAGCTGTCTGAGGAATGTAAAAATATGGGTACACGAGAGCTAAACAAAAACGAAAATACAAGATAGGGGATTTTTGAGAAATAACAGTGCTGTCAAAGAGAGCACCTTGGAGTGGTATTTATAGCATTCATTTCGTTATATTAGAGTTCTACATTACACTGACACAAAGGATGTAAGATGACTAAGTATGATAAGTAGTAGTCTACTTGATATAATAGCCATTATTTGCAACGGCTGTTCAGTTTGTACTCCAGCTGTCGCGAGCAGACTTGTACTCACGTCGGAGGGATATCTGTAGACACACATGAAGCCATATATTTTACAACCAGATATACATACCGTATCGGAAAACTACGCTCAAAATCCCTCTAAAGTGTTTGGTTGAACAGTGTAGGACCAAACTAAGGTTTCGACCGAAGAATAATTGTCTAGATGCGCGCTATTGCCCAGTTGAAACCCAAACAAGGTGGATTGGTAAATGACGGTTCTCAACAAATACTACCACCCACTTATTCAACCAATAACTTTTCAGTTAACAATCTAATCAAATAAATTCTTTTCTATCCCTTTTGGATAGATCACGTACAGATTCGTTCGAAGGACAGTATTTGGTTGACTCATAACACAGAATTTTGCAACCTTGAAAGAGTGCTTCAATTCACAGACGAAAGTCCACCATCCCTGTCAGTGCAGGCAACACAATCAAAGAGGGGAGCAAATCAACATGGCTACCGCCAAGACTAAGTATCAATTAAAGCAAGATAAATGCAGTTCAGGAGCAAACATGGTAACTCTGTGGAGGCGTAAGGAAAGTTAAAAGTATAATAAAATACAAATATTACCATCTCAAATGGAATCAAATGACTAACAAAACGTACAAATGAAGAAATCAATAAGAATAAATCACAAGTGCATACATGGAGGGATTTCCATACACAAAACATTAAAAATGGATCTTACAAACAGAAATGTTAGTTAGTTGTTCTGTTTCCTTATCCTGTATTTTAAAATTTACTTAAGTCTGTTGTAACCGTTTTTTATGTTATTCAGTCTTTTGTGTAAGGAGTTTTGTTATTTGACTTTAGATAAAGATTTACCTCCAATTACTTTATTTCACTGTCGCATATTGTCGGACTATTGGCAATAATATCATGTTTGACTAAACCCAGGGTTATGGCGTAGTTCAGTGTATGACTTAACATTTGACTGTCTGCTTAGAAACGTTACTGAAATCGTCGAAAATAATTATCTGATCACATCCTGTCGGAATACTCTTATTGATTTTTAAGTACTGAACACTATTAACCGTTGCTTTTGCTGTATAGCACGTTTTTTTATGCCAGAGAAACTTTTGACAGTATGGTACAGGCAGTATCATTTGATGTATGCTGTGCCACTAGTAATTGTTTCTCTTTTATAACTTAGAACGGCTTAAATTGAGCCCGGAGTGTGTTTTCGTGTAATTTAATAAGAGTTACTCTGGAGCGCTTCGTACGCTTGGTTTTTCAGTTTATTTCGATATTAGTACGTCCACCTTTGCTACTATAACAATAGACCGAATCCCCAAATTATAAACATTTGACGTGACCAGGTAACCTATAAAATCCTGTGTGCATTTCACATCACTGTCTACACTGACTCACTGTGTCGTGACAATCAGTAATATGGTGTCTAGCGCTTCTGAAGAACATATTTGGACTGGGGATAGAATGAGAAGTTTAACGTGAAAAGAAGGAAGTTACGTGAAGTGATCACGCCTGGATGACCAAGCCATGTCATTCTTAGTCTGTGTTTCCACTTTTACGATGACTTGTTGATTCCCAGTCCCTATTCAAAGTCACAAGAACAAACGTATGAAGGCGTGGTAAAATTTCTGGGTGAGAACAGAATGAAATTGTATGAAACCCAGCGTGTTCGCGGAATTTAAACCCGAAAAGTTTCTAGGATGCACAATAAACATAAAAGGGATTACACTAATCAAAAAGGAGGTAAGCAAGTTAAGGTAATATTCCACACCAAATTCTTTGACACGAGTTTTTCGGCCTTAATTAGATTAAAGGTCCAAATAACTTTATTACAATGGCTTTCCTACTAATCACTCATTTTTAGTGTTGTTTTCATGTGGGAACCCTTTAGGCTTTGTTAAAGTGTCTGAATCAGCATGTAGCAGGCTAATGTGGTCAAATAGAGAAGCCGATATTATAATAAGAGAGTAATCTTAAAAATGAGCAAATATGGGAGGACTACCTCAATATCGTTGGCTACTTGCTATGCGTACTAAAGACCTATGTATCAGAATAGTAACACAAAATTTTCAAATGTTCTATCAAATACAGAGGCACAAAAGGAATGTACAGTTACATGATACAGAGTTACTATTAACATTTGAAAATCTCAATAATTTTCGCACGATAATGATTGTTTTCATGTGTTAAAGTTCATACAAGAATGTTTAGAAAGTGATATCATTAACGTATAATACTATTACTTCCATCGTTTGATTTCACTGCCGTCTCTGAAACAGTCACGACACATGTACACAATAGTCAACGGAACATGACACGAATGAGTCCATTTATAATGGACAAGTGAGCCTCGGGAAACGAAAGTTTGTACAAGTAAACAAAAGCAGTAGTTTCAATAATTTAGTTCTTTTGAAAATCACACAAGATGACTACAAATTTTTCCTTTCTTTCTTGAACCAATTGAGCGAATATAGTGTGTACCTCTAGACGTTGAGCCTGAAGATACAACGGATATTCTAGTTTTACAACTAGCAACCAGTAGTACCTTCTATATTCGATCGTTCCCGGTCAAAGGAAATCAGAAATCAGACGAGAAGAGGTAGGAGAGATATATTTGATACGTTATCAATATATCGAGAGGTGTTCGTTATTAGCTGACTGTGGAGACGTAGGAGCTGTGTCCCACGCCGAATCGCAACGTGATTTGGTGCGGATGTATGACCGAAAACCTTCAGTTAAACGAGTCCACTTAAACAGCATGGTCATCATCCAATGTCGAACACTTAGAAAGCCATTGATTTTGGGGAATTATTTACAGCTACAGATCACTCCCCCCCTAGTGAGGTAGTGATGCCCCTAAAACGTGACCAGCCAGAAGTTTAAACCCAACGAGTTTGTCGTTGGTAAACACTCTTCTGATAGCTTTCTTTGTTTGGCAGCGTCTGGTCGTCTTTCCTTAAACTAAGGGACCGTGAGTTAGAACATAACAATAAAGAAATGAAATACAATGAAAATTTCGGTTCCTTGCGAAACTTCGTCGTTCCTTTCCAGTCGTCCTGGAAAAGAGAAAAAATATAACATGTGAGTGCACAAGATGAGCGAGAGAAAAAATTGTTTTTTTTTTATATGCAAAAATATAAATACGCTCAAAAAAATAAAAATGTTTTTTTTTGTTTTTTGCAATAAAATAAAAAAAGAGCATATAAAAAATATTTTTTATAATAAACAATGAGAAGGGAATTTGAAATAAAGCTTGTGTCCTACGTGCAATATCCGTTAAGATGTTCTGGAAATGTTACTCTTCTTCCAGAACGTGTTGTTTTAGGTTTATCTATCGACGTTGACGAAGTATCAAGTTGCGTGTCGGTTGTCTTGTGGGGTACTACAGGTGTAGTAGTTGTGTCCTTTGCTTGTACCGAAGGAAAATCGACGTAGCTAGGGTTTCCGTATAAGTGCGCTGCTTTGAGTCGATCAATACTGATGCTATCGTTCGTACCGTTCTTATCCACTACATAGTACTTAGGTTCGCGTTGAAGAACTTTGAAGGGTCCTTCGTATGCTGATTCGAGGGGTCGTCGATGTGAGTCTCGACGAACGAAGACGTGTGTACTATGTCGTAATTCGGGTTGAATGAAAACATCAGTTGATTGAGGTCGAGTGTGAGCAGGTTTAACTGAACGTATGGCGTTTGAAATCCTACTCGTGTAGGAGTTTAGATCCATGTTCAATGATGAAGCTGAAGGATCCACGAAGTCTCCTGGAAGTCGGAGTGTCGTTCCGTAAATGAGTTGAGATGCAGTGTATCCAATGTCAGCTTTCACTGCATTGCGGATGCCTAGCAAGACGAGTGGAAGAGCGTCTGTCCACTGCGAAACGTTCGCAGCTGATAATGAAGCTTTTAATTGTCTATGAAAACGTTCTACAAACCCGTTTGCTTGTGAGTGGTAGGCGGTCGTTCGGAAGCGGGTGATTCCTAATAGCGAGGTCAAACAACGGAAAAGTTCGGATTCGAACTGGCGTCCGCGGTCTGTAGTGATGGTTGAGGGGCAGCCGAAATTTGCTACCCATCGATCGACGAAAGCGCGATCCGCTGTTTCAGCAGTAATGTCCTTAATAGGTACTGCTTCTGGCCATCGAGTAAAACGGTCTACGCATGTTAGGAGATATGAGTATCCGTTTGAGTCGGGTAAGGGTCCTGCCAAATCTAGA